TGTCCCATTCTCTCTGCTTTCTGTCAGGTGTGAGGTAGAGGGGCTGTGTGAGATGCTCCAACAGGAAATACATGCTGTATTATTTTACATGTACCCAATTTCCCTAAAGCCTTGTCCATTTGCGGGCACAAATAGAACCTACATACATATATATATGTAATATGTAATTAATTAATAAAATAACTATAAATAATTATAAATAAAATATAAAAACATAAATATAAACAAATATAATATAATATAATATAAATTAAAATAACTATAAATAAAATAATTATTATAAATAGCCAAAGTTTTGTGGACTTATGCCCATGCCTATATAATTTCAATTCCATGAAAAAGTCTCCCCAGGTATTTCTGGAGTTGCCATACAGATGCTCTCACGTGCTACTGGCTGTGCGTATGTGCAATGTTGACATCCATTTCATCATCAAACACATTCTTCTCCCTTCTGCCTGCCCATAGCCACAAATCGTTAGGGAACCAAGAGTGTGTTTGCAGGCATTCAAACCCAGATGGGCCATTGTGTGTTTGGCATGGAAGTGGGAAGGTGGATGCTTGCCCAGACTTAGTGTTGTATTATTTTCCACCTAACTAACACTCTGACTCCCCTGACTCTCCAAAGCCCCAGCGTGTAACCATTTCATTCAATTTCTGCATATAGCCCCTCTTCTATGCTTAAAACAACAACAAACAAACAAAACACTAGCTATGTTTCCAGCTTTCTCATCTCCCTCAAACAAACTGTATGCTCCAAACAAGACTTCTGGGCCAAATCTCCTCCTTGCAGACACTTTCCACGGTACCGCACTCATGCTCAGTCCTGTGAGAAGCTCATTCTTAGCTCTGGGTGGGGTTCCTTTCCCTTCTCACAGATGCCTCTGCTAAGTTCCTGATTTCAGTGATCCCAGTTTAAGACCCTGTAGGGAACTTTAAATAAGATTTATAGGGTAGAACAGGCTGTCAGAGTGAGATCACAAATGATATTAACCCTGAACAGTGATTTATTTTTCTTTTAAAAGAAAGCATCTGATACTTGAATTGTAGAATATGAAAGGAAGGAGAGAAGCAGAACACTGGAGCACAGGGAGGATTTTCCATTCTCAGTGGAAAGCGTTCTTCCTTACTTTCTTCCTCCTTTACCATGCAGTGCCAGCTGTCACTGAAAGCTGATTCTAAAGCAATTACCATCCCTTTTCCAGGAAGGAGGATAATGTCTAAACAAAAGAACAGATGATCAGATGCCGTGGGTTCCTCTGACTCTGGAACTGCTTTAGAAAGGAAGCTGTATCTTTGTAGAATTATTATCAATCAGCCTTTATTGCTTCAGCTTTCTTTATTGCATTCTAACACACAAAGTAATGAAAACATATAATAAAGAGAATAAAACACATAATGCATCACTGTGCAGATATTGCAATCATAGCAAATCCAATGTAAAAGCCCTATAGGGAATATTTGAGTCTTCCAATACATTGCTAACAGTTTGCATGATACTATATCACGTTATTTATCTACTAAACCTGTCATGCTCTGCTAAATATCGTGCAAGCATCAACCTCAAATAGCACTCCTCCTTCCCATCCTCCAAACAGGAGGCATATTTCTTTGCTGTCACTGGTTTTAATGTTTGCAAAGAGTAGCTCCGGTTCCTGAATAATTAATGCATAACGATTACTAAGCTACGGATAGTTTACTATTCTAGCCCCTCTGGTCTATGCAACGTTGCTTGCTTTAATATGCACTTCGAATTGGAACCAAGAGGTAGTAAAAGCCATTAAGACGGCATGGAGCTCAGTCAATAATGATTTAGAGTTTGGACGCATCTTGAGTTTTCCATTCTTGGCTCTCAAGCCCCATCTGCTGCTCATGCTCTGATTTGGTCTCCCTTTTGCAAATGTTTCTCTGGTGGTGGAGTTTCCGCTCTGTTTACATTTACTTAAAAGAGTCAACGATCAAAACTTCAGGTCAAATACTCACTTCCTCTGTGGTAATTCACGCTCTGGAAGAACACTGGCAATGGCTAGATACACAGATTGTTTCTGTTAGATATGCACATACAACTTTACAACTTCATAACATGCACTTTATAACTCATCTTGATAGTATTTGGCAAACATTAAATACTGATAACAGTCGCAGAGACAACTCACCCTAGGAATCACAGAAGGGGTTTCCAAAATGGCTGGACAGGCTTTATGAAAAATTGGAGGCAATGATTTTTTTCAGCATGAGATTGCAGAGTAAAAACATCAAGACTGGCTTTCCCATGTACTGCTTGTGGTTTCCGTTCACTGGTGCTTCTACAGATGAACTCACCTCTTAATGAATCCCACATGCTCTAAGTTGTGGTATCCTGAAGGGCAGAGAAAGGTCATCTTCATGGCCTTGTCTGTGAAGTGAAATGAAATAATTCTCCAGGAATATCTGATGAGGATAAATGACTGGCAGTGCAAATTCCTTTTGGGTAGATTAGCTGCTTCTAGAAGGTCAGTGACTCAGGTTCTATTTCCCATTGTCTCAGTCCATTTTCTGTAGCCGTAACTGAATAACATACCCTGTTAATTTATCAGAAAAGCTTTACTCAGCGCATGGTCTTGGAAGTGTGGGGGTCCAAGGTCAAGGCGCTAAGAGCTGTCTTGGTGGTATGAGGATTCTTTGCAGAGTCCTGAAGTGGCACAGGGCATCATGTAGCTAGGCAGGTGCATCTGAGGGAACCAGAATGGCTTTTATAACTGACTCTTCATATGACATATTAACCCACTAACTCATTAATCCTTCATGATAACAGAGCTCTGGCATAATCACCTCTTAAAGGTCTTCCCTATTCCCATTTCTTAATAGTCACAATGGGGAGTTAACTTCAAAATTAGTTTTGTTATTGGCGACATTCAAATCATAACATCCTTGGAGCTTGATCTGGGGCTGGACATGTAATATACAGTGGAAACTTGGCCCATATATTTGTAGACTGCTGTTTTCTAAAGGAATGCATTGTGCCAATTTCACCTAGGTGGGGCTAGTTGGAGCCCAGCAGCTCAACAATGCCATCTCATTGTTATCAGATGCTCTTTCCCTTCTTTCTGGAGTCTGCCAAATGTCCACATTAAATGGACATTTATATTGCTTTGGAAATAAGTATTTAAATTTCTTGAGTTTGGTTTTGTAGACTGAACAAAGATCAGTTTACTTATGGTAGGAGATGCTGTTAAGTCTTTCAGGGGATTTGGAAAAAGACTTTAACTAAGTAGGCACTGGTGACCTTCATGTTAGCATAAATGTAAAAGGTCACTCTTGCTATTTCGTCCTCACCCGACAGACGAAGTCTTATATATTGTAATTGGTTCTCTGCCTTTTCCAGCTCTTATACTGTTGCTAGGCATGGCTCTGGGTTAAGCGGTCCAGACCCATATTGTTGATAGAATGAATAGATGTGCAGCCAATGTACATACTGTCCCATGGCTGTGATTGGTTAGTTAATGAATCATGTGTCAAAGAACAATGAGGTGAGAGGGAAATCTCTGCAGGGTGCTCTGAGATGCTCCGAGTGCGTGGGACATGTAATACACTAAATGTCAAAGTTACTCTGAGAGTTCTGGAGAAACTGAAGATAAAGATCATAGATCAGTATCACACTTCGGTTCAAATTCCCAATAAATGAACCTAGCTCAGTCAGACTCCACCCTAGCCCACTGAGCGAATGCTTGGCCCCATGCTTGCAGTAATGATAGAGACAGGGTGTGGAAAGCCAGGGAAACTCAAGAGATTCACGAATTTGAGTGTCATCCTTGTGCAGGGGCCATGCTAATCTTCTCTGTATAATTCCAGTGTTAGTATATGTGCTGCCGAAGCGAGCACAAAACTCAAGAGATTCATCGAGATAGTCCTGTTCAGACCTAGGGGCCCACTCAATGCCATAGTCTTGCCTTTCAGGAATCAGGGCTCAGTCCTTCTTTCCAACTGTTTGTGGAATAATGAACAATGCAAGTTCTTGTTCAAGAGGGGAGGTTAATGTGCACAAGTGGTGGTTTAACAGTAATAGTGCACATATCACATGAACTTTATTTCTGTTTGTTGATCAGCAGTTGGCAAACATAAAGGGATCTGCACCCTGGTTTTGCCACCATGAGGTCCCTGAGCTGGGAAAGTTGAGCTTCTCTCGACCATTCTCCCTTTCAAACCATGACACCGCTATCTCTCACTGCTCCATTGTTCCGCTTTCGTCCTATCATGTACCTGTACTTTAGCTTGTTGAGTAAATCATTTCAGCCCACTCTTCTCGTCCCTTTGCTTTATCATCCCTAAGGCAGTAGGGGATTCGTAACATCTCACTTGAGTTAGGGAGGGCCTTTGAGAGACATCTGAAGAAGATGAAAGGGAAGAGGATGCTGAGGGGGGAGAGAGGTTGTATTCAGCTGAAACTGAAAAGCATTATCTCACCAGATTTGTCATTACCATAAATGATTTGACAAAGTATGTGTAACCTTCAATAAATAATTTCACTTCTCTGAGTCTTTACTTTTTTCATTCCCAACGAGGACAACAAGGGCATGAAACTCTTTAAGTGATGGGTATTGAAGAATGTCATGCATTTAGACTACTACATGTAATACTTGACATGCCACATAAAGACAAGTGGGCATGCCTTAACACTGGGTATGCCTCAGTATTAAGGTGGAAATGGGAAGGAGTTAGCCACTCTAAAAGGTCTAGAGGGGAGAAACACTTCCAACATCTCCTGGCCATAGACAGGGAATGCGCTACATTTGGAGAATTTCTAGCCATGTGAAACTGGGAAATGTAGTTGGAATTTAAAGTCAGAAGACCTGAATTTTATTCTTGGTGGAACTTCTTGCTACTGTTTGATTTTAGGCTAACTACACTTGTGATAATTTCCAATGGCTGATGTAAACAAACAAAAAATAAGCAAACAAAAACAAACAAACAAAAAAACGTTTCACGAATTCTGTGGCTTACAACAGACTTCTTTCCCCCCACAGTTCTGGAGGCTGGAAATTCAACAGTAGTTCCATTGAGAAAGAATCAAGGCATCAGCACTTAAGAACTCTAAGGAGAGAACTGACCCCTTCACTCTTCAAGCGTCTAGTGGCTCTTGGTAATTGATTTGTGGTTGTAATACTTCCATCTTTTTTTTTTTCTATGCTCCTAAAGTGTATGCGTGTGAGAGAGAGAGAGGTCTCTACTTCCTTTTTATAAGAATATACGTAGAATGCATAAAACAACCCAAAATAATCTCTCCATCCTAAGAGCCTTACTTGAATGAAACCCACAAAGACCCTATTCTTAACAAAGCTTCATTTTCAGCTTCCAAACCTTAAAACCTGATATCTCTGAAAGGTTATTACTCTGTTTACAGCATCTGACCTTTCTCAGTTCCAGCTACTTCATCTGTAAATTTAGGGTGATGACTCCCAATGCATAGATTATTGTGAGATTAATTCAATAGCATATGTGAAAATATGTTAATGTGTTCTGCAAAGAGAGTTGTTGGAAGAAATCTTTAAAAATCCATTGAGACTGGCATTACTGTACTATGTACCCTGCAGTCTTGTGGCATAAAACCTACATTCTCTGAATGGTGTCTGAACGACTGGAAGTGAGAAATCACAAGAGGCCTTACAGTTTAAAGGTTTTTATCTATTTACTTTTCAAAATGTTAAAAATTGATTAGCAATAATTGTACATATATTAAGACACAGTGTGACATTTCAGTACGTGTTTGCATTGTGTACTGATCAAATAAGTGTAATTGACATTTCTGCCATTGTCTTTGCTTTATGATTAAAATTCCTCTATTCGCTCAAAATACATACTAACTGAACTATAATCACCCCTCTGTGCTATGTAATACTAGAAACTTCTTACTTCTATTTTATTCTAATTTGGTGCCCATTAATCAAACTCCCTTTATCCCTCTCTCTAGTAATTACTATTCTGTGTTCAGATTGAGATTTAAAAAAAAAAAAACTCCCACCTAGGAAGAGCTTGCAGTACTTATCTTTTTGCCTGGCTTATTTCATTTAACATAAGTTCTCCAGTTCCATCTACTTTGCTGCCAACGAGATGATTTGTTCAGTTTAAATTGTGCAGGCCTACTCTTTTCTGAATACTCTTTGTGGACTAAAGTTACATAAATTTTTTAAAGTCCTGATCTTGAAGGAATTATGTTTCATTTCTGGTAGACAAGTAAAGTTTGACCATCCTGTGGTAGGCAACATGAAAGAGTGTTGTTGCCAAGAGAGCCAAGGCACGAGTGAGAGTTGGCAGGATTGGAGCCAGAGTGGAGGGATCAAGCAGTGCTTCTCTCCTTAAGTGGTGGTAACATCAGTGAAACAGCTTGTCTCTGGGTTCTGTCTCTAAGTTCTGACTCCCTTCTGTTGCTTTAAGTCATGAGGTCAACAGATCACTTCTATGCCTTTTGGCTCTTGCATGTTGGAATGGAAGATACGACAAAGTCGTGGAGTGAGAGGAGGAGGGGAAAACATGAATATGTATTGCTTGATTCAGTTCTGAAGTTTGAAGGTCACAGAGAATTGTATCTCAAGGATGTTTTGTAGTAATTTAGCATTGAGAGCTCAGAAAGGTCTCCTTAAGCCTTTCCATTTATGTCCTAATTTTCTTCTTCGTTTTTTTATAATGCTACATAGTTGATTAGGGTACAAAAGGTCAAGGGCTACAGGAAAGTGGATAAAACCATTGTTTTCACACTATTATCATCACTTTTACCCCACCTCCCCCCGTATCTGGGGTCAGGGAAGAAACAAAGGGAGAAGCCCCCCCCCAGCCTCCCACTCATCCCAGATCCCTGAGGTGGGGCCATTCACTTCCTCATTTTAAAACGCCTGGATCTTTAGTAATAAAACCAAATAAATTATGAAGAACTCACTGACAGCTAGTGGGTTTGATAAAGCTGGCCCTGGAAATAGATTTGTAATCCTGTCATGTTGGTGGGAGAGATGATGTTGATTGGTAAGTTCCTGGTTCATTAGCATGCTAGCAAGGGCTGCTGCCTCACGATTTACCATCAGATCCTTTGTTCAGCCAGCAATGGAGGTAGACATGGAAATGTGTCATTAATACCTATTGGGGATAAATGTTGTTTTCTTTTCCAAATGTATTGCTTTGGCAGTCTAAGTAATTATCATACAAGAGCTAACAATTGTAGTTCCAGTTTCAGAGAAGCTGATAAATTATGGCCATCTTGTTTGGAGAGACAGGACATATTTATCAAAAGGTAGCAGTTCTCAGTTTCACATTCTAGAGGAGCTGCTGAGTGACTCAGAGGAGGGCTTTTACAGACATGTTGAAGAACATTGCATTGGAGGAAGACTCCGGGGAGAGGGTGGGACCAGAACTGAGTGTTAGGAGGTGGTTAGGAAGGACTTCTGAGGGATACAGGAAGGATGGAACTAAGAAGAGCAGCACTGATGTGTCATTGGCACAGGATTGATGCCCATATGGTGAGGGTAGTATGACAAGAGCCATACACACTTCAACATGGAGATTTGGGGTGGATTCATTTGTTCATTTGTTCATTTGCTAAGGAAAATGAATTAGTATCTTGAAATGTTGGTGATGAGAAACTCAGAATACATCTTGAATTGGAGAGATTTGTTTGCTGCCTTGCAAAGAATGTGTATGCTTGGAGACTTAAAGAAAAGGGAGGGACAAGTAAGGGAAGAAATGAGAGGTGAATGTCCTTAGCAAGATGGCAGAAAGCATGGATAGAGGAGAGATTAATGAGGAAAAACTGGCTCTTCTTTTTTTGTTTCGGTGGCACACAACATTGCTTCAGGTCTGTGTTCCCACTAGACTCTAAGCATCTCAAAATAAAAGACTGTGTCTGATTCACTGCGCTCTTGTAGCCCCTGGAACTGCACCTGGTGCATGGTAAATCCTCAGCAGGTCCTTGTTGACTTTGTTGTTATTCAAAATGGGTTGGAAGTGAGCGATGAGGTGAAAGAAAAGTCAAGGAAGGCTCAAGTTCTGGAACCCGGGAACAGGGGAAATAACCTCCCTATTAACAGGAGAGGGGTCCACACAGCAGAAGGACCTCTGCGTCAGGATGTCCTGCAGCTCACACTGACCAGGCATTTGTGACGTGGAGCTGCCAAGGAGATACTAGAAGGGCTTATATTTTAGGAAGAGAAAAGCAAAAGGGCCTTGCTTCTAGGAGAGTGCTGGAGAATCTAGGGAAGGAAGGAAGGAGAATAGCCCGTGATTAGGACAAGCACATTCTTACCTCTCAAAGCCTGACTAAGTGCTCAGAAATAAAGAGAAATTACAGAAAAGACCTTAAATATTTGCTTAACAGAAGAGAATTTGCATAGATTAGTATTCCCTGACAAATAGTCCAGCCAGAGACCTTTGCTAGGACCTGTACAAATCATATCCCATTGGTCTGGCCCATGGCCTTGGAAGGCTGGGTCATAGGGGAGAGGCAAAGGATGGACTTTTCATCCCATCCCTTAGTTGTTAAGTTCAGAAGAGAAATGAATTATTGCTCAATTTGAATAACTCAATGAAGCAGCTCTAACAATGAGGAAATACAGAGGACTGAAAGTTAAAGCCCCTCTCACTATTATTCATATAATGTTCATTGTAAGTAACCATTCATTGAAGGTGGGTTTGTTTTCCTTCTTTTATTTTAGTTTAGATACACATATGCACACAGAAATTTTCTCATATTTTTTAAAAAGTATGTGTGATCTTTACATGTCTATTGCACATAAGCCAACCCCATACTTTTTGCAATTATTCAATGTTCTATTGATAATAACAATAATTAATATCATTTAAACATTCCCTGTGTATCAGATACTCTACTGTCATTAATGCTCAAGCCAATTATAAGCATAGTTATTTTCACTATCCCCATTTTAGGGAGAAGAAGCACCAAGATATTGAGTGAGTTTCCCAAGGTTACAAGGATGACAAGTTTTAGAGACAGAATTTTATTTCAGCCAATCTGATTGCAGGGTCTTTATCCTTACTTGTATCCCATAGTGTTCTCCTGTGGATGTATTTTATTTAAATAAGCATCATTAATGGAATTTTAAAAACCATTAATGAACTTTTATACTGTTTCAATTATTTCAGTTAATTATTTATTCATTGAACATTTTTTCAGTGCAGGTTCTTTCCCACATATGGGGCTGGGTATTGAGGATCCAACAGTGAATAAATTGGATAAAAATGTTTGTCCTTGAGAAGTCTATAGGAGGAGGTGGATCATGCATAACACAGATAATAAGGAAGAAACATAGTGGTGAAGACAGGAATGAGCCATTAGAAGTAGAATTGGAAACTGAGACCATGTTTCTATAAGGTCTTAATAAGAAAGTAATACTTGAGCCAAGACCTGCAGGAAACAAGGGTACCATTCACCACTGGGCTACTCACCATGCCCTGTTTGGGTAAAAAGTTTTCAAGGTAGAAGGAACAGAGTACAAACCAACAATGATGAGTCCATTGTGATTGGAGTGGTGTGAAAAATGGACACAGTAGTAGAAGGCATTGTTAAAGAGGTTAGGGCCCAGTACAATGGCTCAATTGGCTAATCCTCCCCGTCCTACCATATAGGTACTGACTAGTATCTCAGTTGCTCCTCTTTCCATTTAACACCCTGTTTTTGTAGCCTGAGAAGGGAGTGGAGGATGGCCCAAAGCCTTGGGACCCTGTGCCCACATGGGAAACCCCAAGGAAGCTCCTGGCTCCTGGCTCTGGATAAGCTCAGATCCAACTGTTGTGATCAATTGGGGAATAAACCAGCAAATGGAAGACATTCTGTCTGTTTTTCTCCCTGTAAATTTGCCTTTCCAATAAAAACATTTTTAAAAGGGGTATCATGGGTCAGATCATCCAGATATTCTTATAACAATTTCAACTCTAAATGGGATAAAAAAAATCACAGCAGAGCTTTGAATAAAATTGATACTATATCAGTAGTAAACTCTTGAGAACAAATTGAGGGAGTTGAGGGCAGAGATGGGGAGATCAATTTGGAAGCTCTTGCTACAATCTAGGCCCAAGAAGATTGTGGCTTGGAAGGTGTAAGTGAAGTGATCTCATACTGGAAACTTTTTGAAAGTAGAA